AATCTTTAAAAAAAAAAAGAATGGAGAGACTTAAACATATTTGTAGATTTCAGTAATGAAGAAGAAATTGATGATGACAAAACAAAGAAGAAAAGTGATGCACAAAGTCCCAGAACAGGCAAAGTGGTTAAAGTGTAAGAAAGTCAAATGAAAGCTTCTTATAAGGCAAAACTAAAGATACTAAAGATTATAAAAAATTAAAGATATTAAGAAGCAGTATTCTCATTTATTAAGCTTTGTTACCTTAGGTACTTGCTCCAGATCTGTCCTGGATTTATCTATTAAAAAAAGGAAAAGAGAAAATATGATTTTTTTTACACTTGTTTTCATTTTATTCCATAAAATATACTCACCAACTAGATCTCAGGTCCTTTCCAAAACTATTCTTCCTGGGTTGGACTCCATGCCTTCCTGCCTCTTCTGTGAGCGCGCTTCATCAAATACCCTGCCTCTGCCTCTTTCCATATCTTCAGCCTCTTCCCTTCTAATAGTTCCTCTCTGTGTATATACATGCTCAGTTCTCTTCCATTAAAACAAACCAAAATAAAAAAAAAAAGATAAAGACAAAACCCAGGGCCTGGACTAGGCTGAGGCAAGGGAAGCCCTCCAGTACAAAACTTAAGGAAGCACTCACTCTCAGGTTATGCAAATGCGTCTCCTGCCTCATCTAGTGTTGACCATGCAAAAACATCTTACACTCTGTTCTCTCAAAACCCTATAACTCAAATCCTCAAGTCATATTCACAGTGGTAGTCTCCATTTCTTTCTCTTGTACTCACTCTTTAATATATAGGATTGTGTTTTCTGTAATCACCACTTCAAGTCTGAATGCCCTCCGTAAGAGATCCTAAATTGTGAAATCCACAGAAACTTCTCAGTGTGTAAACTGATCATTACCACCAACTGACTGGCCACCAAAACCTGTGCTTTGATCTCTAATGTATCTCTCAAATGCCTAAATTCCTCTCCATCTTCATTATAACTGCTATTGGGGCCACATGATTTCTCACGTGTATTACTGCAATGGCCTCCAACCGTCTCTTTGCCTCCAGTTTATCAACATCCTTAAATTTGTTTTCCACAACTGTTTTCACGGTGAAATGTATAATCATAAATCTGATGTCTGGTTAAAAATATTCTGTGGCTCTGTACAGCTTTTAGAAAAGAAAAATTCCTTAGCATGGCATACAAGGCTCTTCAGGATCTGACTCCCCTGCCTACTTCTTCAGCCTCACTTCTAACTCCCAGTAGAGCCAACATACTGAACTCTTGCAGTTCTTTGAACATGCTCTGTTTTTTTTTTTTAATTTTGACTCTATTGCTTTGCATACACTGTTCCTTCTTCCTGGAAGGCCTTTTCCCCACATAAATCTTTCTCAGCAGCTAGTTTAGAACACAGGCAATCATCAACTCTAGAAGTTTTCTAAGGCTTAACAAATTAGGAGCTCTATACCATCTTGCCACGCTGAACTTACTGCTTGATATACAGGGCTTCAATTGTTGGTTTATTTATGTAACCCTACTCAGGAGACTATCAGCTTCTTGATGACAAGTGCTCTTTGTTACTCATCTATTTTTAAACAACAAGCAAAATACCAAGCACCCAGATGTTAAATAAATATTTGCTGAAATGAAGGATAACACTACAATGAGACCCACGGTTTTTCTCTTAAAAGCGTTTGGAAAAGATTACGATCATAGGCTATAAAAATCTCACTAAAAATAAAAATTATAGGTAGAACAGCCATCAAGGTCCCAAAATTAAGATTTTGTTTGTTGATATTTATGCTATGCTACAAATATCACATATTTAATCTCCATATTGTCTACAAATAGCACATATTCATACCATGAGTATATAAGAGAGTCCTGTCAAAGGTATCTTTAGAAGGACAAATATTCTTGCATCTCTCATGTATCTTCTCTCTCTATAAAAAGACAAATAATAAAATCAATGCTATGTAGCAATATGAATATTCAAAGCATCAAAATGTTTCACAAAAGAATATACCAAATTAGTTCTACAATTTTTAATGTGAAATCACTAGCCTCTTGAATTTAAACACAAATAAGTATGTTTAATAAACCAATACAAGCTCTATGAACATCTATATGCTTATACTCATCCCATTTTACATAATTATAGTAAAATCTCCATAATTTTAGCATGAAGTGGGAATGCAAATAAAAAATCCTTATTTATAGAACAGAAATCAATTGAAAATAGTTTTTTAAAACAAGCAAGAAAATGTGAAAACCTATATACCTAAGACAGGTTATTAGTTGACACTGAGTCAAGAAAGAAAGAAAGAAAGAAAGAAACCCTACACGGATTTCAGATTAGATGGTCACTAACAACAATTTTATCTTTTCAGAGATACCATAAATTAGGACACATAGGGAAAATGGAGTATGGAAAGGAAAAAACACTGAGCTAGTAGTGTTCAGAGTTCTAACAGCAACTGTGGCAGGAACTACAGGATTGTCTTCCAACATGGCTGTACCATTTTGCAGTCATACCCACAATGAGTAAGAGTTCCTATCAGTCCACATTCTTGCCAGCATTTGGTGCCGTCAGTGTTCTGAATGTTTGTAATTCTGATAGATACATAACAACAGCTCATTGTTGTTTTACTCTGCAATTCCCTAATGACGTATAATGTTAAGCATCTTTTCCTATGCTTATTTGCCAGCTGAATGTCTTCCTTCATGAGATGCCTGTTCATATCTTTTGCGCATTTTTTTATTATGGCAAATACATATAACATATATGCCTTTAAACTTACCACTTAAAACTCTTAGTGATGTTGACTATCATTCCATATACTTACTGGTCATTTTTACATATTCTTTGGAAAAATGTCCACTCAAGTCCTTTTCCCATTTTTTAGTTGTGCTGTTCTGTTGAGTTTTAAGAGTTATTTGTATATTTTGGATACCAATCCTTTATCATACAGTGTCTAGCCTGTATACATTCTTTTATTAGTGTCTTTCACAGAGAAGTTTTTAATTTTAACCAAGTCCAACTTCTCAATTTTTTGTTTCATGGATTGTGCTTTTGATGCCATTATCTAAAAAATTATCACCAAACTCAAAGTCATGTATTTTCTCCTATGTGATCGTCTAGTTTTACAATTTTGCATTTTACATTTAGAGCTACAATTCATTTTGTGCTAATTTCTGTGAAAGGTATGGGTAGTCTGTACCTAGATTCTTTTTTCTTCCCTTTTTTTGGGGGGGGGGGTTGGGCAGGTATATGTCTAGTTGTTCCAGTACCATTTACTCAAAAGCTACTGAGTTACTTTTGTACCTTTGTCAAAAATCAGTTGACTATATTTGTGTGGGTCTATTTCTGAGCTATTTTGTTGCTTTGATCTATATGTTGTCTATTCTTTCACCAATACCACACTGTCTATAGTACTATAACCTCACAGTAAGTCTTAGTCAATTAGTTGTCAGTCCTGCAACTTTGTTCTTCAATACTTTGTTGGCTATTCTCTTTTCCCTTCCTATATAAACTTTGGAATCAGTTTCTTGGTATCTACAAAACAAATTGCTGGATTTCAACTGGGATTGTGTTGAATCTATAGACCAAGCTGGGAAGAACAGACATGTTGACAATATTGAATCTTCCTATTTACATACATGGAATCTCTCTCCATTTACTTAGATCTTCACCAATTCCTTTCATCAGTTTTGTAGTTATCCTCATATAGATCTTGCACATATTTTGGTAGATTTATACCTAAGTATTTTATTTTCTTTGGTGCTAATGTAGATGGTGCTGTGTTAACTTCAAATTCTAATTGTACATCACTAGCATTCAAGAAAGCAATTCACTTTTGTAATATTAACCTTGTATCCTGCAATCTGGTTATAACTGCTTATTAGTTCCAGAAGTTTCTTTTCTGATTCTTTGGGATTTTCTACATAGACAATCATGATATCTGTGAATAAAGACAGTTTTATTTCTTCCTTCCCAGTGTATATACCTTTTATTTTATTTTCTTGTCTCATTGCATAGTTAGGGTTTCCAGTATGATGTTCAAAAGGAGTGGTGAGAAGGGACATCCTTATCTTGTTCCTGATCTTAGTGGGAAAGCATCTAGCTTCTCACAGTGCAGGGTTTTTGTAGATGTTCTTTATCAAGTTGAACTTTCCCTATATTCCTAGTTTGCTGCGAGTTTTTATCATGAATGGGTACTGAGTTTTGTCAAATGTTTCCTCTATATCTACTGATATGAACATTATGATTTTTTCTTCTTTATCTTGTTAATGTATGGATTACACAAACTGCTTTTTGAATATTGGATCAGCCTTGCATAACTGGAATAAATCCCACTTAGTTATGGTACAGAATTCTTTTCATACATTATTGGGTTTGATTTTCCAATATTTTGTTAAGGATTTTTGCATCCATGTTCATGAGAGATAATAGTCTGTAGTTTTCCTTTTTCATAATGTCTTTGTCTAATTTCAATATTAGGTTAATGCTGCCTAAGAATAAGTTAGAAAGTATCCCCGTTGCTTCTATTTTCTGGAAAAGATCATAAAGAACTGGTATAACTTCTTGCCTAAATGGCTGGTATAATTCACCAGTGAACCCATCTGGCCCTGGTGTTTTCTATTTTGAAAGGTTATTAATGATTCAATTTAATACATATAGTTTTATTTGGAGTGTCTATTTCTCGTGTAAGTTTTGGGATTATGTCTTCCAAGGAATTGATCTATTTCATCTAGGTTACAGAATTTGTGGGCATAGAGTTGTTCGTAATATTCTTTTATTATCTTTTTAATGTCCGTGAGATCATTAGTGATGTGCCCTCTTTCATTTCTAATATTAGTAATTTAAGCCTTTTTTATTGTTATGTTAATCCCCATACATTACATCATTAGTTTTAGATGTAGTGTTCCATGATTCATTGTTTGTGCATAACACCCAGTGCTCCATG